CCAGTGCCTTGCCTCGTATATGCCATATCTTAACCCATCCAATATATCCATTCATCATAATTCTGTTATTCCCTCCCCTCTAGTGGGGTTATACAGTCAGCATTGCTATCAGCTCCCCCTTCTCTCCCTGTCTTCCCGTATCCTCAGGGAATCAGTACTCCCATTGCTGTTTCTGAAGGGTCATTCATCCTGGCATCCCTGCATTGAATGATCTTAATTACATAAATGAACCTACATAGGTCTAACAGTATTAATGAGGTAAAGCATAAGCCTTCATAGTAAGGGGAGGAAATATTAAAGAACCAGAGGATAGTTTTTGTGTTTCATAAGTGCTATATTGCACCCTGAATTCCTCATTTCCCCCTACCTCCCACCTCCACATGGCCCCTCTTTGAAGGCCTGTCCAATTGCCTTGCAGTTGGGTTTTGGGTCTCCACTTTGTCCACACTGCTTCACATCAGTTTGATTGCTTGTTTTTGAACTTCTGTTACCAATTCCCATTGACACCTCATGATCCCACAGGCTGGTGTGTTTCTTCCTTGTGTGCTTTGTTGCTTCCCTGCTAGATGGCCGCTTGTTTGAATACAAGTAAGACCCCAGACTCTATATTTTTAAATAGCTGGGCACCATCAGGTTTCTTCACCACATTTGCTTATGCACCCATTTGTCTTTAGTGATCATGTCAGGAAGGTGAGTGTCATACAGTGCCCCAGTATTAGAACAAACCATTTCTTGTACATAAGTGGGATTTTAGTGGAGGCCCAAAGTCCATCTGAAGCTTTTGTTTTGATAGTCTTTAAGACAAAGAGAAGAACTGTAAACAAACATAGACAAAGAAACTCTTACTTGGTGAACAGAGGGAAGAACACCCCTGAACTCTCCGACCTCACACTTACCTTATTTTCATCAACCAACTTGACTATGAGATCATCTCTAGAAACTAAAAGCAAAAAACAAACAAACACATAACTATGAAAATAATTCACCACATTGAAATCACTCAGCAATTTCTCCCCAAGCAGCTCTATTCACGCTCTCTCTCTCTTTTTGCCTATATTTTACAGAAATTGGGAGAGCTGAAATATTTTATGATCCTATTTTCATAGACAGGAGACTAAGTCCTAGAATTATCAAGAAGCTAATCCACAGTCATGTGCAAAAGGGAAAATAAAGAAACATTTGACCCTCAGTACAGGAGTAGAAGTCTCAGGGGTAGTCTAAGCAGAGGAGGGTCACAAAAAAAAGTTTTCTGAGAAAGACCTCTTTCTAAGCGAGGCCCAGAGAAGCAGGGAGGTAAGCTTGGTAGCTGTTGCAGTAGCTGCCATGGGGAAAAGGAGGGGTGGGTCTAATGCAATGACAATGGGGTTGCAGAAGATTCATGGACTACGAAGCAAGGAGTGTTGTCAGGACTTGGTGGGTGTCTGGTGAAGAAAAGGCACTGAGTCAAAGAAAACACCCAGCACCCACACGTGGACAGCAGACTCGTGAGTTCAATAGGAATGCAGGGCAAGGTGTGGGCTTTGGAGACTGAATGAGACAAAAGAACTTGAATTACATATCTGCAGGACAACTAAATGGACGCATTCACCATGCATACTCGAGTATAAGCTGACCTGACCAGGCACCTAATTTTACCATAAAACTGCATAAAAAATGTGCTGAAAAACTTGGCTTATTGGGGGATGGAGAAGTGGGTGAAGGGAGACTTCAGACAGTGTAAGATATTACAAAAAATAATAATTTATAAATGATCAAGGATTCATGGGGGGAGTGGGGAGGGAGGGGAAAAATGAGCGGATGCCAGGGGCTCAAGTGGAAAGCAAATGTTTTGAGAATTATGATGGCAACAAATGTACAAATGTGCTGGACACAATGGATGTATGTGTGGATTGTGATGAGTTGTACGAGCCCCCAATAAAATGATTTAATTAAAAAAAAAAAAAGAACAATCTTAAAAAAAACACCTTGGCTTCTACTCGAGTATATATGGTAACTGGTAGCAAGCGACTTTTCTGAAGTTCAGGAAGAGACTTTCCATGGACAAACAGATCTACATCAAGCAGAGAGCATCATAGTGGGAAGAAAATCAAAGACAGAAAACTGGGGCATTTGGTATTCTGTGCACTAGCCAAAAGATGAAAATTTTTCTTTCTGAAGAATTAAAAAACAAGCATAAGTTTGGTTTCAAAGAAAAGTTCATAAGGATCTATTTTGTTTCACTTTATTCTACAATCAGAGAATCATAAAACACATAAAAGCTAATTTTTAAATATCGGTTACACTTAGGAAAAAGTTACACATGTTAAAACACGTGAATCTGACTCAACCCATTTAGAGTAAATTCTAACTTGAAGCAAATGAAAGATAAGAGATAAAACTACTTGGCCTATAGGGTCGCTGAGTCAGACTTTACTCAATGGCAATGAATTTGGGGTTGGTATATGGCCTATTCTGAAAATTCCACTAATCTAAAAATGAAAAGGAACATTAAACAATTTAGTCACTTTAATGAATACATAGCTAAATAGTTACTGTAAATAAAAAACAACTGTGAAATGATTAAAATTTTAATCCATTGACCCAAATAGCTAAAAGTATTCTATTTGTCATCTAGTTAAACTATTTATGCTGCAAAATAATGAATTTGCTTGTATATAAGCAGTCTCTAATTCAATATTCTGCATAAAGTGGATATTTTAGCCATTTGAGGTTGTTGTTTTAGCTTTCACTTTTAAATGGTCTTCCATCTAGTCTTTGAAAAATTAATGCAGTAGTTACTCAACGAGAGACTGACATGAAAAGCTCAACTGGCAGACTAGGAGACTTGGGGTTTACTGTTTTCCGGGGCCCGGGGGCAGTCTCCCCGGGTCTTTTCTTCTCCTCTGTAGCACGGTCTCTCCTCCAATGACATAATCTGGCAGCACCATAAACTGTACCTTGTATGTTTGTAAGCACCTAGCACCTGGATATTAGGTGCCACTGCATCCGCAACCATACGAAGACAAAAAAAACTATCTTGTGACACTGCCAGTGAGAACTTCACGACCCAACATCTACCCAAAGTCTTTTCTGCTAAAAGCATACGTCAAAACATCAACTAAGGCTGCCCTCTGCACTAACTTTCACCATCTCCTTTCGCGCCTGGTATTTCCTGTCTCCAGTGCAGGCGCAGAGTGGAGAAGACAGATGGGAAGAACACTGGCTTAGAGTCAGGAGGTCAGGGTTCAGGCCTCATTTCAGCACTTCTTCTCCGCGTAACTTTGAGAAGGAAGCACAGTCGTAAGAACCTCATGTAATACCTGCCGTGAAAGCTCTGTGTAGACCAGGAAGGGCTACTCTCCCAGCAGGCACTGCACTGTACTTCTGTGTAGTCTTTGAGTCTGACTTTCTGAGCGCGGCTTTACAACTAACAGCAGCTGGGCGATAAAGGGTTGGAAGAGGCATGAATTGAAGAAACCAAGGATCAAATCTAGACTCTTCCACCCCTGAGTTCTGTGACCTCTGTTTACTTATTTGTGAAATAAAGGCAATTTAAACTGCCTCTAGGCACCTTAAGGAGCCCTGTAGGTGAAGTGGGTAAGGTATCGGGCACCTGCAACAATCCACGATTCAAATCTAAGTTAAGAGAAATAGAGTGGTAACCACCAGAGTGGGGAGCCTGACATGGAAAGTGGTGACGGGGAGTAAGTTACCCACCCACTGCTATACCAAGTCAATACTGACTCATCGCAACCCCACCTAGGGTTTCGGAGACGAAATCTTTACAGGAGCAGACAGCCTCATGGTTTTCCATGGAGTAACAAGCGGGTTTGAATCACCAGCCCTGTAGTTAGCAGCCCAACCCCTAAAGATAAATATCCTTATCTACTTAAAAACATTCTATTATTTAATATTAAGCTTAAGTCTAAAAAAGCAAACATTCTCAAGCCCATAAGCATTTAAGTCAAATATTAAGGAAACAAAAGAAAAATCACCTCTAGACAAAGAATAGTTTATAATGGAGGGAGGAAAATTCTATTTTAGTACCAATATTCTTTTTTTCCCCTGAGTGTCACAGGTAAGAAATAAATTGGCAAGTTGTGATATTTAGGACTTTGGGTGAAAACTTCCCACTTCAAGGATCTGGGCCTCAAGAATATAGGCATGTGATCTCAAAGAACTGCTGCAAGCATGGTTTCTAGCAGGTGTTGTCATACCGAGATCACACTTGAGCTGCGAGGTAGCAGCTCTCAGCTCTTCCTTCTGCTGCTGCTCCTGGACCAATAGAGCCTGGGTCGTCTGTGTAGAATTTCGTAAGGCAGTACAGTTTTTCTGCAAAAGGTGTACCTGCAATTGTATAAGAAAGAGTCCTTTTCTGTAAAGATTTCTGATAAACTACCCTATCGCACACGTGCGAGGGAGAATGTGCCATCTTAAGGTCACTTGGGGGAACAGCGGAGCTTGTCCACTGTGTTCGCGTCTCAGCGCAGGGCAGTGCCTAGGGCAGAGGTGTCCAAAGCACTTCCAGTTCACACTCTCCATCGTAGCAGTCATCCATGAGTCACAGGTGAGAGAGTGGCTAAGAAAATGAGATCTTTCATGTATTTCATTTTAATTAAACTTGGATAGCCACATATGGCACCAAGCAGGACTGGTTCTAGCAGTCATTTGATTGCGGGCTCTGACAGCTTATCACATTCCATACATCCATTATTTCAAATTCTAATCACTATAATCGATCCCATTGTCTTTATCATTTTAACAATTGGCTATCCTTCACAGTAGATTACATCTAAACATTTACTTTCTAGGTGAGCCCTTGGTATCAGCTCCTCTTTTCCCCCTCCCCTCCCGGCTCATGATCCCATGATAAATTATAAATTATTATTGTTTTCATGTTTTACACCACATTTCTGCCTGAATTCCCCCTGGGGGGCAGGGACTATGCGTTAATCCTCTCCTTCCACCCCTCCTCCCCTGACTTCCTCCTTACCCTCCTGGCATTGCTATGCCCAATTCTATTCCTGAGGGGTTTATCTGACCTGGATTTTGTGTGTCTTGAGCTATTATCTGTACCAGTGTATATGCTCTGGCCTACCCAGAACTGAAATAGTCGGGGTGAAGAGACCCCAAGCCCATCTGTAGACAATTGGATATCCGCCCACAGAAGGTTTATAAGGAAGGGATGATTCAACCAAGGTGTAGTATAGCACCAACCAATCACAAATCATTCCTCTAGTTCTTAAATGCTTCCTCCCCACCACCCACCCTCCACTACCATGACCCAGTTCTACCTTGCAAATCTGGCTGGACTGGAGAACACCCATTGGTACAGATAAGAACTCTGGACACATGGAATTCAGGCCAGATAAACCCCTTCAGTAGTGGGAGTAGCAATATCATGAGGAGTGGGGGATGGTTAGGGAGGGGGAAGGGAGAATAAGGGGGAACCCATCACAAGGTTGGATATATAGCCACCCCCACCTCCGAAGGGGACAAATAACAGAAATGTGGGTGAAGGGAAATAACAGACAGTGTAAGATATGAAATAATAACAATATATAATTGATCAAGGATTCACAAAGGTGGGAGGGTGGGGGAGGAAGGGGAAAAAAGAGGAGCTTATACCAAGGACTCAAGTAGAAAATGTTCTGGAAATGTTGACGGCAACATATGTACAAATATGCTTGATACAATTGATGCATGGAATGTTATAAGAGCTGTAAGAGCCCCCAATAAAAATTATTTCAAAAACAAAATCAAACAAACCAAAAAACCCAATAGTGCTGATAGGCTTGCTGGTGGCGGGGATTGGGGAGGGTGGAGAATCAAAGTAATCATTGTGTTTCATTGGTGCTATACTGCACCCTGGTTGACTCATCCCTTCCTTGTGACCCTTCTGTGAAGGGATGTTCTTATTGTCTACAGATGGGTTTTGGGTCTCTGCTCTGGCCCCCCTCATTCTCAACAATATGTTTTTTGTTTGTTTGGGGTCTTCTGGTGCCTGTTACCTAATCCTATCTTCACCTCATTATCGCACAGGCTGATGTGCTTCTGCCACTGGGCTGATTTTTTCTCTACTAGATGGTCGCTTGTTTACTGTATATACTTGTGTATAAAACAAGTTTTTCAGTACATTTTTAATACAGTTTTTGTGGTAAAAAGGGGCCTCAACTGATATTTGGGTCGGCTTACACTCGAGTATATATGGCAACTCCAATCCTTTAAGACCCCAGATGCTATATCTTGATAGCTGGGCACCATCAGCTTTGTTCACCACATTTGCTTATGCACTCATTATGATTTCAGTGACCGTCGGGAGGGTGGCCATCACAGAATGGCAGGTTGTTAGAACAAAGTGTTCTTGCATTGTGGGAGGGCTTGAGCAGAGGCCCAATGTCTGTTCACTAGATGTACTCTACTGTGAAGGATAGCCAATTGTTAAAATGATAAAGACAATGGGATCGATTATAGTGATTAGAATTTGAAATTATTCGCTGTTTGGGGAACTTACAACTTAAAATATTCTAAATTATATGTAGGCCATTTCTACTGACAACTATGATGAAGGCAAAGATCTTGTGCTAAAATAAATGAGAATTGAAAACAGCATTGTGAACACATTGCTGATCATTTTACTTCCTGTTCTCCTTTATTTAAAGTGCTGGCTTAGATGTGCCCTTTGCTTTCCAGCTATGTCACAGATAGGTAACATCAGACCAATGACACCTTCCAAAATCCATGCCTCTAACAGGATGGTGCACGGGAAGGTTACTGCAACCGCAGTCAAGACTGCAGCTCTGTAGAGACTGGGTCAAATTCGCTTCTCCGGCACGTAATATCATTCGGAAGTTAAGAGGGCTAGACTAAATTATATTAGGGTCTTTATGCTCTTTTACTTTTGTGTGTGTGTGGTATTTGTGGAGGCTTATGAAAGGAAAGATGACAAAAATTATTTAACAAATCTAAAGAAAATTAGTGAAATTATAAACTGATGAGCAAGCCATCAGTTTCTCATTTTTTACGCTCACATCTCTAAACAAGGAGGGGAGATCTCTCTACCTGTTTCCGCTCTGTCTCCACTTTGGCTTCCATTTCTTGTACTTTGAGAAGCATGGACGAGGCAGATTCCTCAAGAGACGCCCTGAGGTGCTTCTCCCGGGACAGTTGTCTCCTTAGCTACAGATCAACATTGCAGTTAGGCAAGACCAAACGAACCGCTTCATACCCATTTAACAAAGGTCAGAGTCCCCCTAAAAAGTTACTTCAGATACTGTTATCTCATCAGCAAAAAGTCTTTTCTAACTATCCAGAAACAAGCTTTGTTTTTCCTTAGTACCTTTCTAAAAAGTCAAATTTGATCCCTTTCTGTTCCTATTGTATAAGTCTGTCTTACAAATGTGTTTCAAGTCTCATTAGTAAGCTGTAAACCCTGGGGTGGGGTGGGGTGGGTGGGGGAAGTAAAATAGAATTAGAATAGGAAAAATACTAGGGAGCTTCAACGTGTTTGTGGGAAAATTATACTCTTTAAATTCCACTATCTATGAACTTTCTGAACTTCTTCTCATAGTACGCTGCACAGCAAGTAGTCAAGTTTGATGAGACGATTGTGTATATATATGCATTTGTGAAGGAGTCTTGGGGGAGCAATGGTTATGCATCTGGCTGCTAATTGAAACGTGGGCAGTTCAAACCCACCAGTGGTTCTGTGGGCGAAAAGATCTGGTTCCAATAAAATCTCAGGAAACTCTAAGCTAGCTTGGCCGGATTGCTGAGTCGGACTTGACTCAATGGTACCAACAGCAATGTGCATAGGGTGTTGCAGGGTAACGTACACGCCGCCCAACAAGTTTGGCAAACACTAGTAACATACCTTACTGTATGTTTATGATTTTTTTTTTACTCTTTTGTTCCTGGATTTTCATTTCTTCATCTATGTATTTTTATTTTGCAGTAATATACACGGAATGCTGTTCCAATTCTGTTTTGGAATTTAAAGCTCTAAATAAACCATGAGTTACCTGCTCAAGTAGCAGGCAAAATTGAAAATCAAGAATTTGGGTACAATGACCTTAAATCTGTCAGGAATTAAATAAATATATAAAGATGAGTAAGGGTCCTGTGTCAGCAAGTATAAAGATCCTCTCCCGTTTAGGTGAGTTTCGTGGTGCAACTCTTTATCAAACGGTGTTACAATGCTAACCTGAAAAAGCACTATTTCTAAACACAGTTAATTAGAAAAGTAGGCGAGGATCCCCTCAAAAAAAGGGAATTTTTTTCAAAGCTATGTATTTAAATTTTTTTACACAAGAACCTATCACCTTCAACGTACTCTCCATTAACTGAATACATTTGTCAAATCTGCGATTCCATTCTTTTTTTTTTAACATTTTATTAGGGGCTCATACAACTGTTATCCCAATCCATACACACATCAATTGTGTAAAGCGCATTTGTACATCGTTTCTCAAAACATTTTCTCTCCATTTAAACCCCCGACATTAGGTCCTCATTTTTCCCCTCCCTCCCCGCTCCCCCCTCCCGCATGAGCCCTTGATAGTTTATAAATAGGTATTTTGTCTTATCTTGCCCTGTCCGACGTCTCCCTTCATCCACTTTTCGGTTGTCTGTCCCCCAGGGAGGAGGTCACACACAGTTCCATGTAATCGGTTCCCTCTTTCCTACCCATTCTCCCTTTACCCTCCCTGTTTTGCCACTCACACCACTGGTCCTATAGGGCTCATCCGTCCTGGATTCCCTGTATTTTCAGTTCCTATCTGTACCAGTGTACCTCCTCTGGTCTAGCCAGACTTGCAAGATCGAATTCGAGTCATGGTAGTGGGAGCGGGGAGGAAACATTTAGGCACTAGAGGAAAGTTGTATTTCTCATCATTGTTACATCGCACCCTGACTGGCTCATCTCCTCCCCGAGACCCCTCTGCAAGGGGATCTCCAGTGGCCTACTAATGGGCTTTGGATCTCCACTCCACACTCCCCCCATCATTCACTATGGTAAGATTTTTTGTTCTGATGATGCCTTACACCTGATCCCTTCGACACCTCGTGGTTGCATAGGCTGGTGTGCTTCTTCCATGTGGGCTTTGTTGCTTCTGAGCTTGATGGCCGCTTGATTACCTTCAAGCCTTTAAGACCCCAGACGCTATACTTTTTGATAGCCGGGCACCATCAGCTTTCTTCGCCACATTTGCTTATGCACCCATTTGTCTTCAGTGGTCCCATTCTTGGAAACATTTTTCAAACTCATCTGTTTAGATAGCTGACAGCACCTCCTTAATTTTTCCTTCATCTCTTCTGTCTTGAGATTGCTGTCCTTCATCAAGGAAACAAAAAGAAGTCACATGGAGCAATGTCAAGTGAGTAAGGTCCATGGGGCAAAAGAGTCATGCTGTTTTTTGCCAAAAACTGGTGCACTGAGATGGCTGTGTGAGCAGGTGCGTCGTCGTGGTGGCAAAACCAGTTTCCTGTCGGCCACAAATAAGGTCTTTTTAATCACACACTGTCCTGAATGAAATCTTTTCAGAACCTCTAAATTGAAAGCTTGATTAATAGTCTGACCCGATGGAATGAACTCCAAATGCACTCCGAGTTGATATTTTCGATAGTTTGGGAAGCTGATGGACATCCAGAACAAGGTGTGTCATCAAGCGACATCTCATCTTTTTAGAAATGAGAAAACCCTTTACACTGGAGTTTTCCCAACGTGCTGTCCTTGCAAGCTGGGTTCAACATCACAACAGTTTCTGTGGCAGTTTTCCCGAGCAGGAAACACAATTTCACAGCTGCATGCTGTTCTCTTAAATCAGCCGTCACAAAAAAACGAGGTTCGAGCAAAACTGTTTTCACAAAAAAATTCATTTGTGACCAGCGAGAACTTCCTAGGTGACACTAGTGGGTGCACTACTTTAGAGTGAGTTGCTTGATGCCTGCCCAGCAGGAAAAATGCGCGCTATGAAAGCTCCGCCCAGTGAAGCTTTTTCCTGTTTTTTTGGGGGTACCCCCTCGTATATACTCTATTCTCTAGATTGTACACGTTTATATGTGATTTTTATAATGTCTTAATATTTTATAAACTTTGAAAGTTTTTTAAAGTTTAAACAGATGGAAAATGTTTTTGAGATGAAACTGTTGCAAGACAGCACATTTTGGAAATGCTATCTAATTTTCTTAACCATAGCCTCATATCGGCTATTTAGGCTTTTCTAGTTTTTCACTAGAAAATACACACATACAAGTACTAACACACACACTATTAGACTACTCATGCTAAGGAGCCCTCGTGGCGCAGACCCCCCAGCTGACCGCAGGACAAAGATGCTGCTGTCTGTTTCTCTAAGTTCTTATGTGGTCAATTGAGCTTTTAAAGATCTTGTTCATGCCTCTCAAGCTGAAAAAGTCCTTTCTCATATAATGATAATTCAATGTCACTTAATAAGCCAGAGTTTTCATATTGGGCTCGATTTCCTAGGCTACCGTATAAGATTATAATTGCTCGATAATATAGAGATCATTTTAAAATTACTTTCTAGATATAAATTTGTTCCTTCCTAAGATTCAAGTAAAGCTAATGCCCCAGAAGGTATATCACATTTATTGTTTTGAACATCGTCCACCCTGTGCCCACCTTCAAACTTCCCTGCCTCACCCCCCGTCCATTCAAGTTTCATTATTTTCTCACAGCACCAAGAATTCCACCTAAGAGAATTTCCCAAGGAACTAAGCTTATCATTTACCCATTAAAGTTTTTTTTCTTTTGTTTTTTTTAAAGTTTTAAAAAATAATTTTGTATGAAAATTTTCCTACAACATCTATCTGCTTCTGTCCCAGGTGCAACAATCTTTTAAGTATAATTTGACCTTTTTGATTTGTATTAACACCTATAATTATTCTGTAAGGGACTATTGAGGCCTTTAGGACACTTTCTTCAGACTCTTCTATTGTTTTCAACTGAGAATTTTTAGCATAACAGCTTTCAGAGCCGCTCACTTCATCATTCCTAGTCTGTTGTATAGTAGTAACAGTGAGGCTGAAAAAAGACTGCGATAAAACCAGATGATTCCACCTACTGCCACAGAGACTATTCGGACCCCTTCGGGGTTTCCAAGATGGTGAATCTTTGCGGGAGCAGACAGCCTCACCATTTTTCCTGTGAAGTGGCTGGTAAGTTTGAGCTGTTAACCTGTGTTTAGTAGCCCGATGCTGAACCCACAGGGCGAGCAGCTCCTTAAAATTAGATGCCTGAGTTGATGAAAACCTTTTTATTTTGGATTAAAAGGCCTCTGCCTGAAGGTCTCCACTTGAACCCTAGCAACGTGGGTAACTGCAGGAGTTCGGTGATAAGGGCGCCCTCCTTGCTTAGGGAGCGCTCGCTTTTCAGCCTCATGGCAGCCCTGAGATGAGGGACGGCTTCAGAGTACGTGCATGCTCGGCCATGTCGCTGGAATTTCATGAAGCACATTTTCAAAATTCTCCTATTACACAGTCACACATGAGTGGACTTCAAAAAGTTTGTGGAATAAATGGGATTGAAAGACAATGGAATTTTTCTACTTTTTGAAGCCCCCTCAGTTTCTTCTTTAAAGTCTTCTTTTCATTCTTTCTCCTTTTCTTGACCTCCCTTCTGCAATTCCCCCTCCGACCACCCCATAGCGCTGTGCCTTACCTCCTGATTTCTAAGGTTCATGTTCCGTTTGGTGGTCTTCAGTTCCTCCTCAATAACAGCTGCGCTCTTCTGAAAGCAGAAGGAGAAAAGCCCCTAACCCATCGACAATGACAGAAGAAAATGTCTCTCGGTAGATCAGTTCTCATCTAAAGTTTTGCCTACCACTTGACAAATACTATTTTGAAGCCAATTAGGAATACTTGTTATTGTGGGTCTGAAGTGGTTGTGACAAGGATAACTTTATAAATAAATCAGCATTTTATGACTTTTATCCACGACGTGTGTCCTTTAATTTCTTTAATAATCAGAAGTCACTAGTCTCATTAGCAGCCCCTATGTAAAATTCGATAATCAAGAGAAAATCTCCTGTGTAATTAATAGATCATTTTTCTTATAAGGACTATTCCTACTTTTTAAGAACTCGTTTTCTTCTAGCTACAAATATCACCCATGTTTCGGAGTTAGGAAGAAAAACACAGTCTCTGTGCTTATTCATTAGTATTCATGGCAGTACAATTCTATTAATGGATCTATGACTCCAGATATAAAACCCCAAGAGCCACCTTTGCCTTTTCCCCTACCTTTAGCCCCTATCTAGTATCATCCTTTCATACAACTTCCTTCACGAAATCTCTCTCTTTCCTTCCAAGGAGCAGAACTCAAAAGCTTCATGCACTGGATTCGCCATGGGTTTACGTGCCTCCAGTCTCTTATTCTTATTCTTTTTTTTTTTTTTTTGTCTCTTCTTACTATAATCAATACTCTAGGCTACTGACAGATTATAGTTTTCCAGTCGCTTATTAGAAATCTTAATCACTTTGCATAAGATCAAACGCAACTAATTTTTATTCTTGGGATCCTCCCAAACAATCCTCACCTCCCATCCAGCTCATTTGGGCATTTCTGTCTAACTGCACCCAGTGTAAAGACCTAGGTTCCAACCGGGGTTACAAGAAGAAGACAAAGATGTGGGATCTTGAACCGTAACTTCCTTCTGGGTCCCAGTACTCTTGTAACTAAAATGGAGACAGTAATACCGTATTGTACAAGTTGGTTTTTTTAAAAAAAGATCAAACAAAATAACGTGTCCCGTAATTACCTTTCCTTGTGCTGCTCACTGCTAGCAGTGTGTACAGGGGCCCCACTCCTCTACTTGGGTGCAGCCCAAGTTTGCAGTATTCAGGAGGCTACAGCTTCATCTCCCTAAAGCTGCCTGAAGTCAGAGCACTCATTTTGCAACAGTCACTTCTTGTCTTGTAACACTTGCTATATCCTTGGGTTTTTTTTAATTTAATTTTTTATGCTATCCTTTACCAACTAGCATGTAAGTTTTTAAGAGTGCCAAATAAACCCAATTCACTGCCTTTGAGTAAATTCTAACTCATAGCCACTCTATACCAGGTTTCTAAGATTGTAAAGCTTTACAGGAGCAGAACCTCATTTATCTCCCTCAGTACAGCTGGTGGGTTTGAACTATCAACCTTTGGTTAGTATCCCAATGCCTAACCCACAGTGCCATCAGTTCTCCTAAGTTAAAAGCACACTCTGCCAAACCTCTGGACCACTACAGTCACCTGCACAGGCTACCAGAAACCCAAACCCACTGCCATCAAGTCGATCCCCGCCCACAGCTACCCTGAATAGGGCAGAGTAGAACTGCTTAAAGTTTCCGAGACTGTAAATCTTTACAGGAGCAAAAAGTCTCATCTTTCTCCCCCAGTGGCTGGTGAGTTTCAACCATCGACCTGTGGTTAGCAGTCCACTGCTTATACCCCAGTGCCACCATAGCTCCTTTGTACAGGCTATGTGCTCTATAAATACTTGAAGCATCATAGATGGCTGATGGTGATCTAGGCTGTTAGTGCAGATTTAAAATACCAAGAGTCCTCACATCAACATTGTCTACTTTTTAAAACCATTTGTGTAGGTCTGTTCCTCCTCCAGCTAACCCCGAGTATAAAGTCACACGTGAGGGCTCTGAGCTCAAACCTTGCTCTCCGAGGCCACCTCCAGCGTGGCGGTCAACCGCTGCACTTCATCCTGCGCCTTGTCTTCTTCCTCTCGCACAAGTTTCAGTTGCTCACGCAGATTCATAACTTCAAGATGCAGCAGCTTCAGGTCCTTGGAATGCTCCTCCTGGATTGAATTCAGCCGGTCCTTCAGAAAGGCTGGCAGACAGCACAGGAGGGTCAGCAAGCACAGGTTCCCAGGGAGCAGCAGGTGAAAGAAAGGCAGGAAAGGCAAAGAACCGTGAACTCATCAAGCATTCAGGCAAGACCAAATCGCACGATTCGCTCTTCTCTATACCTGTTTTCTCTGGATTTAAATCCTTTTCAGTTTGCAGGCGGAAGATGTTCATCTTCAAGGACTGGATGAGGCTTTCCAGACGGCACATGCGGCTTACCAAAAACTCACAGTTCTCCCATACCATATCTGGTTTTCTTTCATAAACTTGCTCAGTTGGGACAGGGCCAGGAATGGCTTTCTGGCTCAGAAGGTGTTCTGCCGAGTTTGGAGCTTCCAGTTGGCCTCTAAAGAAAGATCCAACGAGCAGCATGAGGCCATGCAATGCAATGCGCACAAAGGAGTTTGATCATAAATTAGCTCACTGAGTTTGCAAGCATCTCGTTGCTCCTCCCCATTACATTTAATGAGTACGTTTAGGTTGAGGATGAAAGCAATGTGAGCTGAAGAAAGATCAATTATGCTTTAAGAGTTTTTAATTTTCATTAGAATTTTTTTGTATTCATACTGACCTTATAGGACAGAGTAGAACTGCTCCATAAGGTCTCCAAGGCTGTAAATCTTGACAGGAGCAGAGGCCCCGCCGGTCTCCTGTTGAGCGGTTGGTGGGCTTGAAATACTCACCTTTAGGTTAGCATCAAGGGCTTAATCATTTTGCCCCTACTCCTACTGGTTGTTTAAGTAAACAGATATTTCAGGACAGCGATAAGCCAACTTTTAATAGCATGTGAGAAGACCAAATAAAACACCTTTTTTTAAGTACATCATTCTAATTATGAAATGTTTTAGGACTACAAATTTTTAAATTTACAATAAATCTAGAAAAAGAAAACAGAGACCAAGTTATTGGTATAAATCAACATTTTAGATTCCTTACCTTGATTAATATAAAAATCTACTTTTTATTTTGAAAGTTATAAACACGTTTTTAAAATTAGGTTAAGAAATTACATTTGTTTTGAATCAAATGTTGATCATGAATAGAATATCATAGAATGCTTGTAGTAGCTCAACTACAAGATAAAAACAACACTTTGCAAACAATTTCTGATCGAAATAAATCATTTCATGAGAAAATGGAAAAAATATTTCTGATTAATGTTCAAATGGAAACTGTTATTTCTCAGTTGTGAATTCTTTTTAAAATACTTATTTCATTTGTCAAACCACCCACTTGATGATTCCTTATCAATAACATCAGTGAAGCAAAACTCCTTAACCCACAGAGCCTCATTCGTATTTCATTTGTTACCTTCCCTCGCAAATGTCTAGCATTAGGAGGTCTTCCCTCAGAGAACTGGTCTGCTCCTCCACGATTCTCATCCTTTGCTGTAGCACAGTGAACGTCTCCGCAGTTGTAGCGTTGACTTGGGTTGGAGAGAGGACCCGTCTGGACATTGCAGCTTCCAGTTGCACCTGAGGGGAACGTCACAATATCAGGGTGGTGGGTTATATTATTGGGGAGAAGCGTATATCCTTGTCCAGGTTAACTCAGGGATGACTAAGTCTTGTCAACTCAATGTAAACTGAAAACAGAAGCTTTAAGCGCCAGCTTGTCATTCACCATCTTTCTTTGCCCTCGCTCATGAGACAGGCATGTGCCAGATGGAGCCTGCTTCCTGACCACGGTCCCACAGAGAAGAGGACACGAAGCAGAACTAGAGCCCGGCCATGACATATGAGAAGACGTTAAAAAGCGTATGAAAAAATCTCATTAACCTTTTTTAATTTTCAATAATTAAACCATTTTATTGGGGGCTTGTACAACTCTTATCACAATCCACACATACATCCATGTGTCAAACACTTTGTACATTTGTTTCCTTCATCATTCTCAAAACATCTGCTTTCTACCTGAGCCCTTGGTATCAGCTCACTTTTCCCCCTCCCTCCCCATTCCCATGAACCCCTGATAATTTATAAATTATTATTTTGTCATATCTTACACCATCCAACATCTCCCTTCACTCACTTCTCCACTGTCTGTCCCCCAGGGAGGAGGTTATATGTAGATCCTTGTAATCTATTCTCCCTTTCTCCCTCACCTACCTTCCACCCTCCCGGTATTGCCACTCTCACCACTGGTCCTGAGGGGTTCATCTGTCCTGGATTCCCTGTATTTCCAGCTCCTATCTGTACCAGTGTTCATCCTCCGGTCCAGCTGGATTTGTAAGGTAGAATTGGGATCAGGATAGTAGCAGAAGGGCCGCAGGGAGGGGATGAGCCGGTCAGGGTGCAGTATAGCAATGATGAAACATATAATTTTCCTCTAGTTCTTGAATGCATCCTTCCCCCATTATCTTTTTCCACTTTTTCCCCCAATGAACTTTTGGATGCCTCCTTGCACAGCCTAAAGGGGTGCTGGTGAATTACATGTTGGGCTGCTCAAGGTCTGTAGTTCAAAGCCACCAGGCTCTGCAGGAGAAAGATGAGGCTTTCTGCTCCTGTAGAGATCTGCAGTCCTGAAAACCCACAGGTAATGTTCTACTCTCTCCTATCGGGTCACTTTGTGCTGGAATCAAGTTGAGGTTTTTTTTTTTTATAGCACAGGTAATCAATAAACCTGGGCAGTGCAAACAGTTAAACATTTGGCAACTGAGCTGAAGGTGGGTGGTTCAAATCCATTCAGAGGCATCTCAGTAAAAAAGTCTAGGGGCCTAATTGGAAACACATGGGGCTGGGACTGACTCAATAGCATCTAGTTAGGTTTCTTGATTATAAACCACGGGCTTTTTAGGTAAGTTGTTAATGTACCAAATCTAGTTGATTCGATCAACCAGTATTGGTCACATACTGGGATGTATGACTTGAGTAGGGGAGCTATTTTATCTTTCATTAGCAGCCATTTTCATGTTAACATTACCATCTAGCCTTTCTGAAACAAATTCTATACAGGTCGCTCCTGATTTGTGATGTATCGAGTTATGAGTTATAAGGAAATGCACTTACAAGCTCCTGGTTCTTCTTCTTTTTTTTTTTTTAACATTTTATTGTTAATAATTTGTACTGCATATTGTGTTGAAGCGTACTTTTCAGATGTTATCACTCTCAGAACTTGATATGCAGATGCTTATTTGTAATATTCCCAGCCTCCAAATATAAGTAAACCTGGGTTTATAATGATATTTATAACAGAAGGCAGTTACAAAGGCAATTTTAAAAAGAACTGGGGGTGGTAGCTGATTTATGTGAGAGCCCACTTTAGTCTGAACACAATCCCATTGTAAGTCGGGGACTACCTATACTGGGACCTCTGAGCAGCTGTCATAACACAATTGATTTCAGTTATTTAGCAAAATATTTTGCAGCTTAAACTTTATAGTTTTATTTTCTTGAGTTGCCTTTTTCTGTTTCATACAACTAAAAGCATCCCTATTTGATAAAGGGTAGTCCCAGGTAGTAGAAGAAACAGGAGGGAAAGGAAATGACAAGCATTGGCAGAGGAAAGGTGAGGGAAGGTAATTCTGTGGAAACCACCAAGTCTAGGAAGCCAGTTATGGCATCAACCTAAACCCAACCCAACAACTGCCATCAAGTTGATTCCTGTTTATATCGGTCCTATGCAGGGTTTCCAAGATGAAATTTATATGGGCGCAGACAGCTTTATCTTTCCCCCAGAGCAGCTGGTGGGTTTGAACCCCTGACCTTATTCCTCAGTTCCTTATAGCATAGGAATACTTACATTAGCATATCAGAAGCTAAGTACATGATATAAACAGATCCAAGTCTCTGGGCACAAAAATGGAAAGAATGGAGTTTCCTCACATATTTGCATGGGATATAGAGTTACTGAAAATCTAATTGTTAAAAGGTGAGTTTTGTTAGTTTATTCCTAAGGTTACTCTGATCTATATCAAACACTTGATTCACTTTACAGTGTGTGTACATATTTAACCATAAGAACAAATTCGGAGACAAGAGAAATTAATTTGCTTAAAAAAAATGTGTTTTGGTAGGAATCTGATATGCATCATCTGCTATTCCACGCTTTACATGGAAGCTTCTCAGGCTTCCGGAGAGAAAAAAAAAAATATTCTCAAACAAAAGGGTGTAACAAATTTTCCGGCAGCCCCCGAGGGGTTTGACAGAGATCAGTTGTCCGGGACTCTGAGTGACAGTGGGCAGATGATGATAGTTTTGAGTGAGTTCCATGGCATTGTCTCTCTATCGGTGAGCACCCTGGTCATGTCATCTGAGGCAAAACTGACTCACAAGCTAGATGAGGGAAGCTTCCCTTTTGGGGCATTAGTGAAAGTTAGTCTCAGGGCTGGGTGAAAAACCTCCCTCCTGCTCTCCTGATGGAGCGGGTGGGGTGGGGAAAGGTCAAACAAGGAGAGCCCTTGACAGTTAGGGAGGTGGCATTGATGCCCTTCAGGCCACAAGATGCCACTCAGGCCCCAAGAGTTCAAGCAAGAGCAGGTCACCTTCATGACCACCAGGGCAAGCCCTGTGGTTGTTGCTCGTGGCTGTGGAGTCACTGTGAGTCATGGTGACCCCACTTCTACAGAGGAGAACTGGACTCCACAGGGTTTTCACGGATGTGACCTTTTGGAAACCGTAGACGCAGCTTCTGAGATACCTCTGGGTGGACTTGAACCACCAACCTTTTGGCTTGTGGTCAAGAACTTAATCATCCATACGTACCCTCCAGGGACTGCATATTAAGGGAAGAATGAAGTGAAGAAATAGATTATTTCATAAAACAATTACAATTTTCACTGCTGTTTACCCCAGGTCTGTCTTCCTCTATCTAGCAGACCCAAAGCAGGCACAGAAATGTCACCTCCCACATGATCCTCAGGCCACCTCATTCTCATACCCACAGACTTCAATTTAGCTACAGTGCATACTAGAAGCACTGCAGCCTGAGAAGAAAAGAACCTGCCTCTGACTGTAGTGTTCCAGAAAGACTATAGTTTGGACCTATCTGTCCTTGCTGTTTTTGAAAAGGAGCAAATGCCAGTGGATACAGGCTTGCACTTAAGTCCCGAAGTCTGATAATAACAATAATAAAAGTGCCAAGAAATAAACTTGAATTTTTAAAAAGTTCCTTCATAACTGCTCTCCACAAGTATATATGTCATGTGGTAGTTATAAAATTTCATGCCAACTTGAAGATATAAAAGTGTAGGGGTGGTATTCAACCTGTCAGTCAGGTGACAGCCTGATGGTGCCTCCTTGTGGGTGTGGCTTTCTCATAAGGACGGTCCCGGGAACCTGTCCCCTCTCTCTCTGACTTCACTTTCTTGGTTGCTGGATGAAACTCACACAGCTGCTGGACCTCTGTGATGTTTACACTGACAAGTGTATCCTTTGGACTTTGCACCAACTGGCCTGTGATCTTCCTGGCCTTCCACATCAGTTCATGTGGCTGCGTGAGTTTGAAGAGGGCCTTATGAACTTGAGTTGAACTGGGCTGGGTTCCTATCTTGATATATAATTACCTCTTGATCTAAAGCTGTTCCCTAGACATATATGAGTGTTACTGGATTTGCTTGTTTAATCAACCCTGCCTAACACAACATCCGAAGACGTGCAGGAGTCTGTCATATGGCTAGTTGGGGAGAGGTCGGAAAGGGTGAACAGTGAGTGCAAATGATCTATTTGGAAAAATAGCCAATGGCTCCATGGACTGTAAGGGAGACAATTTGCCTGGGAAAGAAGAAGTGAGGGGTAGAGTAGTAGGAATCAAGATCATTGGAGAATAATGGGACTTGATCATGCAGGAACTTGAAGGCCATTGTAAAGGTGTGGCCTAGGTGACTTTGCCGGTAGAGGCTTTAGAGCTGTGGAGTGCTGTGATCTATCTTGGGTTTCCACAGCATCTCTCTGGCTCCACCTCCAGGTGGTGGAGGGAAAGGGCAGAAATACTTAGACCAGTTGAGAGACTACTACAAACATCTAGTGAGGAAAGGCTGCTGGCTAGGACCAGGCTGATGGCACTGGAAGTGGTAAGTAGTAGTCAGAATCCAGATGTATTTAAAAGGCAGGATTTGCTAGTAGATTACATAGTAGATATGAAAGGGATGAAACAAACACGCTTACTCCAAAGATTGTGGACTGAACAATTGGAAGGATAGTGCTGTCAGAGATGAAGGAAGCTTGTTCGGAAGAACCCATTGTTTAGGGGAAGAGCAAACGTTGTTTTAGGTGCATTAGGTTGAGAACAGGAAAGATAGCTGATCAACAATTCACCTCACTGCTTTCAAGGTGATGTTGAGTCTTAGCGACCCTATGGGATAGGGTAGAACTGCCCCTGTGGGTTTCTGAATCTGTAACTCTTTAAAAAAAATCATTTTATTGGGGGCTCATACAACTCTTATCACAATCCATACATATATCAATTGTATAAAGCACATTTGTACATTCGTTACCCATCATTCTCAAGACGTTTGCTCTCCACGTAAGCCCCTGGC